CCCCCCCCAGTGAAAAAAGATACTTTACAGCTTCTAGACTTACTTGAAAATTACTGTTTGTGAATGTCTCTAACTTCAGCTGCCTTCAGGTTAAAACTGGTGACCTACTTCATGTCCTCCCTCACTCCAGATGAATCCTCATTTTCTAATGCCTAACTTTTGACTTTCAGAAAATCAGAGATTGAGTACTATGCTATGTTGGCAAAGACCGGCGTGCACCACTATAGTGGCAACAACATTGAATTGGGTACAGCCTGCGGGAAGTACTACAGAGTGTGCACATTGGCTATCATTGACCCAGGTATGTGTATATTGGTGTGCTGTAATAAAGCTACCCCTAGGTCTGCATTTTAATTTCTGCCTGTGTTCTGCTTGTGTCCCCAGCACATGCTTAGTTGCTTGTCACTCTATCTAAAACTAGGAACCGGTTATCTGAGCCATGACCTTTTGATGTATTCTTAAAATCCTCTCACTTATACAGCATCCTTTCTGTACCAGGCTTGTTTGACCTCTGCAGCTTGTACCAGAACTAAGACTAGATTTGTTTTCAAAATCACTTTTCTAAAAGTGGCATAAATAGTTAATTCTTGGGAGTATGCATTTTAAACAGAGGGCATGTCTACATGTTGCTGTGCTTTAGTACTTCCTCTTGCTGTGCTGTGTGTGGGGTGAACAATTAAATTTCGCTGCTATATCACTGGTAGCGCACTATACTGGAAGAGGGCGCCACTATAGCAGCGTAGCTGGTGATCATGTGTGGACCACGTGATCGCTGTCACCATAGCATGTCACTATTGCTGTAGGGCAACATGTAAACATGTGCAATAAACAAATATGGACATTAGTTTGAAAGTAAGATTGTAAATTTGGCTTTTTTTGCTAAACTTACCTTATTTTTAAGTTATTAGCAAATAAAGTTAAATAAGAAGTGACTGGCAGTATTTTCTTTGGAACCAAAAACTCCAGATGGTCACCTCAAGACAATTTTATTGTGCCTGGTTTTCCCCTAAGTATGGTTAATTATTAAGGAGTCCTGTTCTGGTACTTTTTTGGTCAGTCTCTTGATTGGTTTTACTGTGTCTTATTTCCCTTTACCAAATTCTCTTCATCAATCTAAATTTTCACTTACAAAAAAAAAATGTATCTTTAAAATGCTGTGGATCAAACAGGTGTGTTTTGGTTTGTTGTTTTTTGTTTTAAAGAATGCTTCAACTTTGACTTGTCATATAGGGTCATGTTAAGTGTTCATGCTTTAAATCTATATTATAGCTGTTGCACCTGTTTAAAAAAAAATGTACAACAGAGTTGCTGTTAAAGTTACTGCGAATATTCTCGCTGTCCTGATAGTTCAGTGATCTGGGCAGGCTAGACATTCGCTATATTAAAACTGCAGTTTGCCCCAGGACTAGTTTTTGCTTCTAGTTCTGGTTTTGGTGATGCTAGTGACATGTATATAATTGCTTTCTTTCTCTTTTTTTTTTTGTGGGGGAGGGAACAGTATGTTGAACAAAATACTACATTTTTCGTAAATATCTTTTGACATTTAACACTTGTCTTGATTGCTTTCCTTGTAAATACTGTACTTCAGTATAACTTGAAATCATACTGTTCTATAGGAACTGGAATGAATGAACTACGTTTTGATAAGAGAGCTTTTTTCAGAACTTATAGCAAATTTAGAAAAATAAAGTGTTAGCTTCTGTGCAGTTACAAACATAAATCTGGAAGCCAGTGTTGAAGTAACTTATATAATTGTCATTGGAAAATGGGTCTTGTGGTAGTCCTATCTGAATATGGACCTTTTGTTTTACAGGTGATTCTGATATCATTAGAAGCATGCCAGAGCAGACCAGTGAGAAGTAAATGATGTAATGCTATCTGTCTTTCTATAATAAAACTGGTTACAAACTTGTTTTAAAAAAGTCTGTATAGTGTTATGTTGGTTTTGGGAAGTTAATGTGCAATAGACTCATTGCCAAGCTGATCACTTTTTTTGTCCTTTGGAAAATATTATTCAAAAGCTTTCATAAATAGCTTTGGGCTCCATGGGCAGGGTTGAGGGAGTAGAATAAGAATAGCTTGGGGTAAGAAAGCTTAAAAAAACCCATAAGTTTTAAAACTTCATTAAAGTACACAGTTAACAGGCTTGGATAAGTCTGTAGGAAACCAAAATAAGACCATGAGGCAGGAAAACTCTTTATAGCAGTAAGTTCTCTTGGAGTAGAAAATTGTTCTGAAAATAACACATGGAGAACTTGCATAGCATGATCTAGACATAGATCTTTTATAATGACTACACCAAAGATCTTCAGGTACTTGAAAGCAACTTCTAGAAATTACTGTTTACCCCTCTAAAAATGAGAGCGCTTAAACTTGAAATTGACATATGGAACTTGAGGTCTTTGAATATTTGTTGGGAATCTTCATCTGTGCCGTGCTGTGCCCTATGAGGAAGCCCACATTGTAACTAATGCTACTATTAGAAGTCTCTAGAATTTGTACTCTGCTAGTGAGTGTGCGTGTGTGTGTGCATTTAAGCCTGTGCTGCTTGTGTGTGTATTATAATATGTGGCTCCCCAATCATATTTTCTTCACTTGTAGACTAGACACATTTTGTATAATAGGCTTGAATTT